CGAAATATGGGCGGTCGATAGCCGAAAACTAACTTCTGTGAACAGCCACTCTAAAAGTTTCATTAATGACGACCGCATCCGGTGATGTCAACAGTGCTTTGAAGGGAAGGGTAAGTAGGCTTGCGGGCAAGTCTTAGGCTTAGGCGACGGAACCTCGCAGCGTCACAAAAAGGCTGTCATCTTTGATTGCTGTTCTGCAAGATTAAAGAAAATATTCCACATTTGAAGGTGTGAGAGCAAGCGTCATATATGATGAAACAACCTCGCATAAAGCTATTGATATACTTTTAAGTGTAAACGGCTGCTTTAGACAACACAAACTCCCTTTTTAGGAAATATGTCCTTCAATACATCATGGCTTCATTGCACAATCGAATCTCACACAACCGTGACTGAAAGCCAACTGACGGCCGATATGTCCGGAAATGGTGGCCACAAAAACAGATATAAATGACTCGACCATTAGATTTGTGTTGACCTCGATGGCTGCACGACCAATGGAATGCCAGGATTTGAATGGCGGTATTATGGCGTCATGGATACCTGGATGACTTGAAATAATCCGCACGAAATAGTCTGGACATGTTCGTGGCCGGATGGCTCGAGAACTAAGGGGGCTAGGTCTTGTGAAGGGCAGAGATGCGAAGCACACCGAAAGATCTTCCAGACGGCCGTCAGTTTAAAAATACTCACAAACATAGAACACTCGCTTTAAAGTGAATGCTTCATATTTGAAAATATTGAACCAACATGCGATCCCATTAAATAAGATCATTTGCAACTGAAGAGATTTGGTCAATATCAAACTTATACCTTTGAGTGGAAAAGAGTGCTGTGGACAAGAGCATTTCCCTATCTATTTTAGTCTCTATCTTCTCTATGCGTCTCAATATATTAATGTTTGACTGTGTCATGGACCGTCTGGATGACATTAAGGTGCTGCCAAACAAGCCGTGTAAAACTGCCGCCCTAGCACTCTTTTATAGTACTTTAACCGCCCGGAAGGTGGTCTTGGCGGTGCTGGAGGTATGGCCGTGGCAGGGCTGAGCCAGTCATTGGTATGCGTTGATGCTTTGGCCCTTTGTCGTCTTGTCTCTGCATATTTATTGCCGAGTCTTAAATTGTTTCCTTGTTCTCGCAAACTTGATTATGGCGCTTTTCTTACAGTATTCGATTGCAAGTCCTATTTCCGTATTAACTGATGAATATTTCCAGCTTCTTGTATGATGAACAAAAAACGTGATTCGTGATTAAGATTTGAACAATCCGCACAACGTTGGTTGAGAGCCAATTCGCGACCGTAATGCCTGGAAATCTTGCTCACGAACGGCATACATGACCGGCTCGACGGTTATATTCTTGTTGGTCTTGAACGACACATGGCGAATGGGGCGTCAGGTTTGAGTGACGTTTCTATGGCCATTATTATTGTTACTATATTATTATTTGTGCGGATTATATTATTTGTGCCAGAATGATCTTGTAAAAATCTGCACGAAATAGCCTGCACATCTTCGTGTACCAAACAGCTAGAGGATTTTAGATCTTAAGAGGGGCATGGCTGTGAGCTGCATCGAATAATCTTCACAATGTAAGTTGTTCAGTGCATTCACGAGAAACCTTATTGACATAGATAAGACAGTATTAATAGCCTTATTCCTCAGATAAAAACAAGGAGAATGGGAAGTAGATTAGTAGATATTTCGGCAGCATGCTTTCATCAAAACAACAGCAGAAGTGGGGTTAGTTCTTCTATGGTTTCGATAAATGCATGTTGCCGAAATATCAACCAGTGTATTTCTACATTCTACTGGTTTTTCTCATAGGAATAAGGCTATTACTACTGTCTTATCTTCACAATGTCTTTCTGTGTAAAACCCACACGAGTGTAGAGCACTCCGTTTAAACGGCGACATGCCAGAAAACGGCAGCACAACCAGCTACGCCCAAATCCGAGGCGCAGTTGGTCGGCAGCGTTGGTCACCAACGTCCCTTGGCACTGCGCCCGAGGCGCTTTGGGTCTGCAGTGGTGACCGCGCCATGGCGTGTTGGTCAGCCCGGAGCCTCCGTTGCCGTCGCGCGGTCCCGGCGGGCCCCAATCGACTAACCCCAATATACGAGCGCCGGCTGCCGGCGCGCCGGCTAATCGCCGCCGGCGTCGGTGGACTAATGAGGACAGATGGAGCGGCCGGGGTTGGCGTCACCAGGCGGTCCACGTTGGCGGTGCGGAGCGCTGCCCCCAGCCAGTCGCGGCCCACGTGCCGGGCGTGCTCAAATACCCCGGTGATCAAAGTGTTTCCGGCGGCGAAAGAGATCCAAGGGGCCGAGTGGGCGGCTTTGAGTGACTGACGATGGCATCGCGCAACGATCGCTGCCCACGTCAGCGCACGTCTGTCCACGTCAGTGCATGTCTGCCCACGTCAGCACACGTCCATCAGCACACGTCTGCCCACGTCAGCGCACGTCCATCAGCACACGTCTGCCCACGTCAGCGCATGTTTACCCGCGTCAGCACAGGTCTGCCCACGTCAGCGCACGTCTGTCCACGTCAACACACGCTTGCACACGTCAGCGCACGTCTGCCCACGTCAGCGTATGCCTGTCCACGTCAGCATACATCTGCCCACGCCAGCACACGTCTGCCCACGTCAGCGCACGTCCGTCAGCACACGTCTGCCCACGTCAGCGCACGTCTACCCACGTCAGCGCACGTCTGTCATCGACAGATCGCTGGTGGACACTTTGGCCCTTCCAGCATGTGAATTCTGGCACTGGCCTCTGCCGGTCCTGCGGAATTCGGACAGCTCCGAAGAACGCCCCGCTTACGGTAGCTGACATTTAGGACTGTTCCGGTCGTGCTGTCGACTCTTCGTTTTAGTCGTCGCAGTCTCTGATCTTTTGAGTTCAAAGCGAACGTGAGGCGCTTTTTCCCGCTGGAATCCTCGACCCCTCCGTCAGCACCGCTAGGTATGCGAATGGGACTGGATTAGTTTCAAGATGCGAGGCACTCCACTAGGAGGGGAGTGTAAAATGTTTCGTTTTGTATTTAGTATTAGTATTATGTTGAAGGATTGTAGACTTCTCGCCAAAGAAGTATCCAATTGGATCCAAAACTTCCTCAACAACCTACCGCATTTCCAAAAGCTTTTCTAAAATTCTTGGATCCGATTTCGCGTAGCCATGTGCCACACCATCCGCGTTAGGCCAAGTTCGGCCGCACTCGCACCAATTCATCCATGTAAGCCCTGATCGCCATGCAGCCCAGTGAAGAGTTCCGATGGCCCACTAGTCCCACGGGAGGCATTGGTCCACTCAGACGATGGCGTCGATAACCAGCCAGCAGCCTCATTCCGGAGACTGTCCGACTCGTGCTCAGCGCGCCGGCCGCAACGAATGGAGTTCGGCCGTCAGATCCTGTTTCCAATCGGAGCTAACTATTGCCAAGGGCCCGGACTGCATTGTGAATGGACCCAACGGGTTTTTCTCTTGGTTCGGAAGTGGACGTAAATGGGCTGCGAATAGAAAGTTGTGGGGATTGAGCAACATGCTTGGTTGTGGGCTGGTACTTCAATTAGTATGCTTCCATTCTCACTGTCTTTGGTGCAAGAGTCGCGCGCCAGGGGAGCGACTACAAGCCCATTTCTGATGCGACACTGTATTACATACATAAGTGATGTGAAGGACGTCAAGAGCGATTTCACATGTAGAGTTTGCCGAGCTCCCATTCTCGCTACGGCAACGACGTGAATTCAGAGCCCCCTGGTTCACTACCCTATCGATCAATGCACTACATTACACAACTATTTGCTTTCTGCATGCCTGTAAGCATTTCAGTGGTCACCTCATGCGGGGACCTTAAACCATGCGCTAAAATATACATAGAGAACTTACGAACAGGCAAGCCATAAACTTCGCAGATTGCTGCTGGGATCATTTGGACTCGACACGAGCCGAGTTGGAGACCACGCTACCATGGTCAGTGCAAAACATTCCGTTTAGTTCGGCCATTTTGCTTGGTTTATCACGCCGTAATCCCCATAAGTGTCGTGAACTGTCGAAGGCGTTGTGAGGCTCCAGGACTTTCCGAGAAGTTACGACAGCCTCGATGAATAGCTGACTTCTCCAATACGGATGAGTTAAAATTTCTTGAACCTGCATGTGGGTGGAATATGGAATGTGACAACGTTATGTGGCGCCACAAACAGCTTTATAAATCTCAGTGAATTAATTCAGGTTGTTGGCTTGTCGCCCATTGCAAACTTGTTCTTAATTTTCAATTATGCGCATGCACGATAACATGTCGAGTCTGCTTTCCACGAATTGCATAAAAAGTACGCATAGTCAAAGCGTCACTCTTAAAAAACGTGTTGATGCAAAAAGGTGTGGATAATTAAAGGGACGTTTTTTCATAGCCTGGTTACATTTTTGCTACCAAACGCGGACAGAGCTCAAAGCTAGCACTTGCTATCGTCGCTAACTGCTTGTTATAAATGTACTAGTCTAATAGCACTCAGCGTAGCTCCAGCCTCTCCGGCTCCAGCCTCTGTCAATTGTCTTTTTGCTGTGACTACAAGGAGCAAAACAACACGGTGATGCCAGAACCTCAGGCATCAGGGAAACGTTGAAACAGCTTCTGCCATGGACGGCGTGAAATTTCAAATACATGTGTTCCGTATGTAGCGTCTCCTATGCCGCCCTCGGCTGCAGTCGTGACCAAAGCCAGGGCCTTGGAAGCGCCGACCATGGAGGCAGGGCGCAGTGCAGTCGTGACCAAAGCCAGGGCCTGGGAAGCACCAACCATGGAGGCAGGGCGCTGCGGGCCGAGGCCGTACTGTACCCGTGTGACGCGCCCGCTCCTCTGCGGCGGGTGTCGTCCCGCCGCCGTCCGTCGCCCAGTACTGTGCCCACGTGACGCGCCTCCCCTCTGCGACGGGTGCCGTCCCGCAACCGTCCGTCGCCCCATACTGTGCCCGTGTGACGCGCCGGCTCCTCTGCAACAGGTGTCGTCCCGCCGCCGTCCGTCGCCCAGCTGACTTCGAGGCTCGAGTTCGACGCCGAACACTCGCCCAACGTTACGGCACGCGTGAACGGCACGGCGATCCTCAGCTGTCGGATCCGCGGCGTGAGCTCCCGACAGGTGGTGAGTGGCTGTCGAGTGTGTGCCGCCATGCTGTCGGGCGGGGGCGGCGCGGCCTCTTCAGCTGAGTACCACCGTGCGGTGCTCTTACCCCCGTCTGAAGTGGTCGGCAGGCGGTATTCTGCGACTGCGAATGTATTCTTCGAACTGCGATGGAGGAGGCAGACAGAGACGGGGGCGGGCAGGCGGGCAGGCGGAAGGGGCAGCGCTAGTGTGCTATTGGCCTAGACCATCGAACATCAATATAATTATGTACGGGCAATGCATGTCCAGGTGGTGGTGAGTCCATAAACTCTGCGACCTCCACTTACTGTGTGCATGTGCGTTTCGTATGCATTTTTCTTCTTGTTGCATAGCTGTGCCGATTGCATTGCACGCATGACATGAAATGACGTTTCCCTGCTGAGCTTTAACACCGGTGTGCACATTGCGCAAATAAACGCACGCTTTTCAAGTGTGTGATTAGCACAATTCCATTTAAGTGGATAATGTTGTGTGGCCTTGAACTCTACAGGCCTTTGAATGCCCGTCTATTTATTCAACGTAGCCTTCGACAGGCCGTCTGTTGCCATGGTGACTGCCTCTAGGCCGTCAGTTCAAGTTGCAAAGCGTTCGAACCGTTTTGACACCCACACACCCACCCACACACCCAAACACCCACACCCACCCACCCATCCACCCACCCACCCACACACCCACACCCACACCCACACCCCCCTCACGCACACACACAACACACACAGACACACATACACACACACACACACACATACACACACACACACACACACACACACACACACACACACACACACACACACACAAGTCGAGATGCTAAGATATTCAGAAAGATTTGGAGAAGGCTGGCCCTATCGATCAAACCCGACGCATCTGGTTTAACATTCAGGAAGAGTGCAAGCCACCAAACCGGCATTCAGTTTTTGCAGGTCTTAAATCGTGCTTGTAAGCATATAGAGGCTTCCACTGTGACGGTGCACACAGCTTGTGGTTATTTCGCTCGTGCCATGCAACGCATGTGCGTGCTCTTTAGATTCACCTTAATAAACTAGATGAAGAACACTGGTTGAGAGCGAGTGGAGCGAGGGTTATATTTCATAGTGCTCTACCGCTCTGTGAGCGGTTGATGACCTCAGACTTCACATGGTCCAACTTCCAACAGTCTCAGGATTCCGACGCCAATAATTAGACGAAATAGCCGACGGCCTTTCCTGAAATAGTAAGCTGACTGACATTGTGAGAAAGTTTGCTTTCACCGCCGACGCCGGTGGAATAATGCATGACAAGAAACTCAGTGGAATTGGAAATTCTCCAATGCACTGAGCTTTGATCTCGGCGGCTCTTACCGTCTAGCAAGCCGATACCAATCGAAATCAACCTCCGCCGCAGATCCTTGTTGGCCAGGTGTCCTCGGCATCAACAGAACGGGGTGGTCGGAATCCGCTGTGTCGTCCCGTCCTTTCCTATGACGTCCTGTGGCGTACTGTTATCATCCGCACAGGATGTTCTGCGTGCTCGGCGCGTCTCCGTGTGCCTGCTGTGGTCAGCACAAGGTGCCCTGAGGGCCTGACGTATCTGCAAGTGTGATGAGGTCGTCAGAACGAGACGCTCCCTGCTTGGTGCGCCGGCGGGCATCCTGGGGCATTAGCACGAGCTGCTGTGAGACTGTCGAGCTGTTGGATGTCCTAGAGCGTCAGCGCGCGGCTCTGTAAGCTGACCGTCGCCAGGTACCTGGGATCCGTCCGTGGGAGGTGCTCCGACAGACTCGTGTGTCGCCAGGTACCTGGGATCCGTCCGTGAGAGGTGCTCCGACAGACTCGTGTGTCGCCAGGTACCTGGGATCCGTCCGTGAGAGGTGCTCCGACAGACTTGCGTGCCGCCAGGTGTCCTGGGGTCGGACGTACGAAGTGCTCGTCAGCGGCCAGGTGGTGTTCGCCAGCGACGGCCGATTCCAGCCGCTGCATCAGGAGTACAGCGAGGATTGGGGCCTGCGGGTGACATCTGTGCGGCCCTCTGACGCCGGCTGGTACCACTGCCAAGTGGGCACCACACCTCCAGTCTTACACCACGTCTACCTGAACGTGGTCGGTAAGTGAGTGCTCAGTTAGCTGAGAGGGGTTTTAAACGCTGATGTGAAATTAAGACGTCGGGCCTACCGCCGTCACCGACTGGTAAAGAAGTTCTTACTTCTCTAACCGCAATAAGATGCACGGTTGAATAAATTTTTCTGCTCTGCTAGTTCATCAGCAATGTAAGGCAGTCATTTTTGGTCTGTTATGCGCCTAGACGTGCCAGAATCCGGCCATAACACTCCGATACAGCTTATTCGCGGGAGGTTTATTTCCGTCACCACCGTCGAGACATGGCCAAGTCTAATGGTTTGACACCAGTGTAGTAGATACATCACACTGGTAGCTTCCCCCTGCTGTATTTGGTCAGGCGCGTAGCACGCCCGTTCCAGCGACATGCTTACATTGCGTGTAAGATGTGCTGGATGAGCTGGCACTGGCGCCCGAACGTTGTTTTTTTCATCTTAGAATGACTGTGACCGGCCTGCTTTGCCCTCAATGCCCGAAACCAAAGAGAGCTCCGGAAGAGGCTAGAGGACAGCTCTGTTGACGGCGTAGCTCAACAGGCGATATTCCCACGATTAAGCTGAGAAACAGAAGTGCATCATTTTTATTTTGCAAGTTGCCTAGGAGTTCAAGATGATATCAACCATTTTAATTGCCATGCTGGACGACGTCGGCACGTAGGCAACGGTTGGCATATCCCACAATATGGATGATTAATGGACACATTGCCGGCGCACCTGGACTGCGCATGGGCGAGTTGATATTGACACATTTTCAGCCTTTGCACTTCCAAATGGTGCATCAGGAACAAACAGAATCTACTCGAGCTGATAAAATACTCTTGTTTCATGGTTTAGGCTTGGCGTCAAAATAATACGCCAAGTTGGAAAGCATGAGCAGTTAAGGTACTATTATTTTCTGATTTGTAGAGCATAAAACTGAAACTAACGCAAATTTGGCTTCCGGCAATCTACTACTTGGGGATAGCGCTAACGATAAATGTACAGCACATGTAGCAGTAAGACACAATCATAGCAAATAATGCTGGTCACTGTGGCCAAATTCATGGTATGATTTGAAAAGGAAAGAATAGAAAAAATGAGATGCGAAAAGATGAGATGCGCATCGTCGCTGGTATTGATCGCTTATCCCCGTGTCATGTCATGTTCAATCCCGCCCCGATCTGGATGTCCTCATCCGATCTTTTCTTGAACATCGACTTTACAAATTTTGACAGCATTTCGGCACATCCAATTGTTCATGGGCGCCTCTCAATTTGATTTGCCAGTGGCATGCCCGAACAAGTCGGCCTTCTCAGAGACATACTTTGGGATACTTATTTCTATGACCGAAGGCTTAAGTCTGACTGAAATGAGTTTTGATACCATCAGATCATCATCATAGTCAGTTGTCACACGCTTTGAAGATGGGAATGCCACAGGTGGATGTGAAGGATTTGCGACTACGTAATGCCACGACGAATACACGTCATTTTCGGTACTGATATTTGTTCAAACGGTGTGTACTAACCTAAAACCTTATAACCTTCGGCACATGACTTTTTTCCACCTCCTCCTCGCTGCAGCTGCAACACACATCAGTCAGTTACTAAAGACGCTCCACATACGCGTTACGTGGCTGACCTCCGGCCGAGCTCACTGCTCATGGTCCACATCTGAAAGGCGCCAGTGTTGTGCACAGTTTTGATCGGCTTTCAGACCGAAATTAATAAACATGATTGACTTTGTGCCATAGTTTGCCCCGCCAAACGCAATTGATTTTGTCATGTTCAGCGATTAAGCGTATTCATGCGTTGGTAGCTTTTCATACTACTACGATTGAGCTACACATTGTAACTGCTTTCGAAAAGCGCGATCTGACGGCCTATGGCGAGCAATGACGCACGATGAACAAATCAATAATTGGATGGCATCAGCCTGAATCCATTTTAACGTTTGCAAGCAGCAATGGAACTGCATCAGCTGATTGGCTGATATCATGCAAACAAACGCAAACTGAAGTCCTGGGTAAAGCGGCGCGTATTCAGCACGGGTCTTGGGATTAACTGAGCTCTGGAAATAGTTTGCATTTAATGCAATGACTCACAAATGTGAAACCTAAAACGAGAACGTTGCTGCCTTTTTCCACCTGGGAACGGATCATGGCAAAGTTGTTCGCCCTCCCCCGCCTTTGAATTTGTTGGAGGCCGGGTAGCAAGACCAAACGTGTCCCTTGATTACAAAACTTCCGTCTTAGCAAGGGGCATATGAGATGATGTGGGCTGCGGGAGAGTTAAAGCATGACCTAAGAATGTCAATATTCTTAAGAATCTCGTATGAACTTCCTTAAAAACACTGATGCACGTTTAAATAAAGACCGCGACGAATCAAGTCACCCTTTGTTCACGAGTGCAGCAGCTTTGCAACAGGTCACGTCGTTATTCGAAATCACTACTCTGCTCTTCCTACTCCTCCGGCCAACAGGGGACGATTGCCTTGGCATGCGCGGTCCCCGGCCTCATACACAACACGAATAGATGAATTCTCTCTGAGCCGGCCGCTGGAGCCCCGAGTCGGGAATCTGTCCCGTCCCGGACGAGCTCGCGTGGCGTTCGCCGGGCCGTGGCGGCGGCGGCGGCGGCGGCTGTCGCGCCGGACCCGACGGAGGTCCCCTCCCCAGGGCCTGCGGACCGACGCGTTCATTCCGGTCGACTGCCCACCCGCGGCCGGAGCTCCTATCTGGGCCAGATAAGCCGCCTGCTTAAGCCGGTTTGTGTGCCGGTCGCGGCGCGGCGCGTTCAGCGCGGCACACAAAGCCGGCGGCCGGGCCGTTCCAGACGGAGGCCAGTAAACAAACCGTTTGTAGAGTGAGCGGCTCGGGGAGCTGGCGGCGGCCGCAGGTTGTAAGTGGCTGTGCCGCTACGGACGCGGAAAACGAGCGTGTTGAGGTACGGACGCGGAAAACGAGCGTGTTGAGGCTGGGTAAGATGGACAGAGTCGAGGCGGGGATGGTCCGGCCGCGTGGTGTTTGCTACTGTGATGGTAAGCTGTGAAGGGCGTTATCGGTATTTTGATGCGAAGGAAACACGCCATGTATGCGTTTACACTCATTTCCCGACAGGCAAGTATTTCGCGACAAGCCTTAAGCAGGGCAACAGTCTTTCGTTTAAAAGGGGTTCTTCTATCGCTTGATGTCTTTCAAGTGGCAGTTTGTTATATCAAGTTCGTCTAGGCAATTTTGGTAAGATTTTAGCGCGCCCTTTTGGTGATGTGATTCTGTGTAGGACCGCGCAGAGAGAAGAACATTCACCAGCAACAAATGCCACCTTTCTGATTGTGCCTGAATGATGTATGGATGACTAATCGCGGCTTGCAGCTAACTAATAGTTTCGTGGCGCCTGTCACATAGACTCTAAGCAATTTGCAAATGGTGCACATCATTTCTAGTTATGCTGTGTACGTAATATGCCTGGTTATTTTGTATAAAGATGAGCTGTTTCGCAAACGAATGTGCTGTACTTGTCGGCACACCAGTACCATTCCAGAGTTGAAGAAATCTAGGGGCGGCCAATTTCCGATTAACGGAACCACCGACCCCGACGTGGCTTTGCACTTAGCGACTCCTTCCCTTGAAGTCCCCTGCTGGCACGCCGTCCCATCTGTCTTTCCTCGCTGCAGTATCAAGCTGTTCCACTAAGCTGCGACGGCTGGCCGGTATGGTGCTGCCACGATCCTCTGAAAGTGCTGCCACCTTTCGGAGGTCTGTTATGGCGTCTCGGTTCTGCAGGGATTGCGGAAACACTCGGTTTAACGCCAGCCGCCGCCCTGCACTATCGCTGGTAATGGCCATAGACTGCTTTTAGTGGGAGCATCAACCTCACGATGGCTGGGGATTGGCCGCTTCATTGAATTAAAAGCAGGACCAATTTGGGTCATGCGCTGTTTCACGACACTGTGTTCTCATGCTCCGACGTAATGTCGGCGTGTTGTGCGAAAGGCCTGTCCCAAAACGCAAGTGTTGATGCGGTGGAATGCTTAGGCCATTGTATCATGCATCTGGCCCATAACGCCACCGATGTCGCTGTTTGTAACGCCCACTGTACAGGGGAACGCCCCTGGCAGTCGGTCTCGATCTACACACCTTGGCTCTTGTACAGCCTGCGTTCTGCCGACGAGCTACGACACTCTGGCATTCGCGCACGAATCACCGGAACGAGGCGTTATACCGTGACTTGCTGACGTTGTCTATAGCCTCTTATCTTCCTGGTCAGGTACTCTGCCTGATTCGATTATTTATAGATAATATTAACATTATTGAAACAAAAAAGAAGTCGTTAAACGTTTGTGAATAGTTCTATGCGCTGAACAGGTTCGCAAGCGCGCTATTCCCCCAAACCCATCCACACCACGCCCTGTCCGCTAGCGCGGTGCCCATGACGGGCCCTGCCGACTCACACAGTGCCCGTGACACGTGCCCCATGTCACGGCACCCGTCTCACGTCCTTCCCTTCGACAAGGTGCCAACAACGCGAACAGCTCCACAATAGTGTGCCTAGGACATGTCCTGCACGATAACACGGTGCCTGTCACGCGGCCCGCCTGCTAACACGTTACGAGTCACGGTCCTGTCCTGTCCTCTGATACGATCCCACCCGTGCCACGCCAGCTGTCCGCTGCGGTACCTTCAGCAGTAGGAGCTGTTGGCGTGTCATCAAGCCGCTACGGCGCGTCTCGTGCATCTGCGTTTAGGTAACTTAAGCCGCATCAAGGTCTGCTTTCGTCCTATCAGTCATCAGTCGATCAGTCTTTTATCCCCTCCGTCGGATATCTGGGTATAGTTCACCTGTTCTTCATTCGGACGAGCACCAGCATGCGCTGAACACGAACGGTTAACTGAGGCTCCCTCGCACTTTTAGCAGCAGACAAACATTCGTGGTATGAGTGTTAGGTTTGCCGAAAACAAGTTTTTCCAGAAAGCATGCCTGCCCAATATATGCATGCATGATAGCCTAGC